CAAATTGCAGCTCATTGTCTCATTGACGGTTCCTGAGTCCGACTACAATCGGAAACTCGGTATCTTCCAGGTATATACATAGATGATGCCTTTTCTTTATTTGATTTTTTTTTTAATTAACTATTTCTTTTATTAATATTTTAATATGCAATTTTACAGTTTTTAAAACTATTAAAGAAAAAAAAAAAGTCAAATTTGGGTGAACAGAAAATTAGCTCCACTTTATTTGAGAAGGAGCTTGTCGGCTAAGTACAATTTTTAAATCTAATGAATAACAATATCGATCTTATAACAATCAAATTTCTCTAATTTTTTCATGCTTATAAGAGATTTTTTTTCTTTTTTAATATTTAAAGAGCTCAACATCTTTTTAATAATTTTTATTTATTAAAACAATTCTTTTATTTATCTTTTTAGTGAAAAAAAGAATCGGTTTATATATGTTCCTCATACATATGATTGATTATCCATTAAAAAAATTTTCATTCTTCGACTATGTTTGTTTTTGTAAAATAATTTCCAGGAAAATATTTTTTCACAATTTTCCATTATTTGGTTGTTCAAGAAAATAAGTCAACGAAAAATATTTTTCTGATCAAAAGAAAATCAAGTCATTTTTTAAAGAAAATGAATTCTCATTTTGGAGAGAGTAAAATATTTTTCGGACAATGACAAACCTTATAGATTCATATTTTTTTTATTTATTAATCATCGTAGTCATTACCACCAGTCGCTACTTACCACCGACCATCACTAGCTACCACCATCGGCCACCGATGACTTTCATAATTTATATTTTTTTTCGCATTCTTCTCATATTTAACAATAAAATTTATAAATTCTCTCATATTTAACAATAAAATTTATAAATTATTAAAAATCTATTATTATTAATATTTTTATGGTCTTATGAGTTATGGTCTTATGAGATAAAAATTTTAATACTTTTAAATAATTCTCAATATTATAACAATATGGAAAAAAAGTCAATTGAAAAATATTTTTCAAAGAAAAATATTTTTTAACAAGTTATTTTACGAAACAAACGAATTATTACTAATTTTTTTGGAAAAAAAAACACTCATACAATTATTAGCATCAATTATTACTATTATATTTGTAGGAATACATAGGTTAAACGCGCTTAAACGCGCGAGTACAACCGTACAAGCAGCGGAACTAAATTTTCAAAGCCTATATATTAAAATTCATTTGAGCCCCACGTATCTGAATGAATACATATAGGCATGTCAAAAAACAAAAAAAAAAAAAAAAAAAAAAAAAAAAAAAAAAAAAAAAAAAAAAAAAAAAAAAAGAACATGAAACATAAAAAAAAAAAAAAAAAAAAAAAAAAAAAAAAAAAAAAAAAAAAAAAAAAAAGAATGAATACATATAGGGAGAGAGAGTAGACCAACATCTAAAGCAAAATAAATTTTAAGTATTTTACATTTAATACGTCATTTCCAATGATGGAGCTCGCCTCTACTCCTCTAACAATTTTTTTTTTTTTTTCAAAGAATGCCCTATAAAATATTGAAATTTTCTTAATTTATTCTCTAAAATAGTGCATTTTTCAATTTTACTCTCCTTTTTAACTCTTGAATTTTTTTTAACTCCCTAACTTATTCTGGCTCCGTCACTGACCATTTCGACCTCTTGTTCCTCAAGGTAAGAGTAGAGTTCCTATCAGCAACCGGCAAGGTCATAGAAAGCTCGAGTCATCCATGTATGTTAAGGTTCAAAAGCCAACCCATCCGTTTCGTTGAAACGATCATCAAAAGCGCTCCTCTTATTGCTGGTTTCAAATCAGAATCTCAAATTCTTGATATAAAAATGGACGAAATCACCGAAGGACTCGAGCCAACTTCATACCTGAAAGTAATGCTCGAACCGCGAGCAGAATACATGTCAGGTGCCGGAATACCTGAAATATACGAATCATCACTCTCGCTTTAATCTGATATGCCAAAGTTGAAAAGATTAGTATGGAATTGGAAGAGAACCATTTTTGTGTGGATAAGCATTGTACTGTTCTTTGTGGAGCTTATTTTGATCTTACTAGTTTTCAGACCTTTAATTATCCCCAAAGGAAGGTCTCGGATAATGTATTATGTGAAGAAGGAATTTTCTCCGTTAGATAGTATCCGTTAGAATAGGAAAAGATTAGAGGATGATGATGATGATAGAGCATGATATTGTAAGAGGAAGAAGATTGAATGGTTGGTTTCAAACAGCCGTCACCAAGAACTAATAATTTGTATTGAGTTGTTGGATTTTCCAGTTCAATTATTTTCGAAAAAAATACAAAATTCTAGAACTAATAATTTGTATTTGACTATTATTAATAGAAAAATAAGTAATTTTATTATTATTATTATTAGAAGAAGAAAAACAGGACCTTATTGCTGCAAAACCTCGTGAAAACGGCTAAATTATACAACGCATAAAACATTTGAGATCTATATAATACATAATCATACCATCTGATACATCGTTCTCTCATTTAAATCTCCACTTCCGCTACTTGAATCTTTTATCTAATTTGATCATTTCTAATTTTATCCAATCTTGTATGATCATACATCCGTCTCAGCATTAGAATCTCCGCAATATTCATCTTGTGAACATGTTGTACATTACGCTGCAATATAGCATTACTAGTCTCACGATCGTCTTACAGAACTTACTTTTATCATATTAAAATTCTTCCTATCACATAGTACACTTATAGCACTCCTCAATTTCATCCATCCTGCTTGGATTCTATGAGAAATATCTTCATCTAAGAGACGTTCCTCTGGAACACAGTTTAGACATTTGAGTTGAATGCAGTTGGGCACTACTGTACCATTTAATTTAAATTCATTTTTCCACTTTTTACTTAAATCAAACTCTCAGTGCATGTAATCTGCTGTCTTGCTTTTGCTTAACCTGAAACCTTTATCCTCAAGAGTTGTCTTCTGTAATTGCAATTTTTACTGTACTCTCTCAGATTAGGACAATAGCATCTATGCACCAAGCAGTATATTGTTAGTTATATTCATTACTAACGTAAATAAGTATCAGCTCAAAGCAGATTTCATGTAGTTTAACTATTAGCCTTTATGTCTCCTTCAGTTGTTAATGTTATAATTTTCTTATAACTGCGGAATCATGTTTAATATAAGGAAAAAAAATCAATCTAAATATTTTTTTTTTAATTTTTTTTTAAATTATATAAAAATGCAAATAGACTTTATTTTTTTGATAACTTAAAAAATGAAGTTAAAAAAGATACGAAAAAAATTTGAAAGCATACAACAAAATATGTAAAAAGAGAAAATAAAAGAAAGCCTAATACAAAAATTAAACCTCAATTCAAATTTTTATTTGCTTTTTTTATCTTACTCAAAAATAGAAAAAAATTATTTTTAATGATATAATCAAACATTTATACTCCCTCTTTCTCATAATTTGTCCTCTTGTTTCCCTTTTATTTATCCTAAATTATTATCCTGTTTCTTTTTTTAGACATGATTATTATTTAGAGTTTACTATTTTACCTTTATATAATATATTTCTCAATAAATATATACTCTCTCTCTCATTTTATTTGCATAGTTTGATAAAATACGCATATTCAAAATTTATTAATTTACCCTTTTTACCCTTAACTCATTAAGATATTAATAAAAGTCATTCATTTAATGAATAATTATAAATGTTTTTATGAGAAAAAAATTATTTACATATCTATATTTAGAAAATTTATAAACATTTTGAGACATCAAAGAAAGAAATTACAAGCAAACAAAACAGGAGAAACAGAATATTAGTCGAACTACTACATCATCATTAATTAAATATTAATATGAATAAACTTAAAATATCAATCATTAATCCTTCGCTCTCCTTTTCCTTTAGAGTTCTTTTAGATTTTTTTTTTTTTTTTTTTTTTTTTTTTTTTTTTTTTTCCTTCGCTCTCCTTTTCCTTTAGAGTTCTTTTCAGATTTTTTTTTTTTTTTTTTTTTTTTTTTTTTTTTTTTTTGGTCACTGCTATTTTTTCTTAAACCGGCAATTTAGTCCTTCCTTCTCATCCCTTTTTTTATTATTATTTGTTTTATTGTAATTTTTCTTTTCAATAATTTTCAAATTTTGATCTGTTCAGAACAATATTAAATTTAGTCTCTAGATCTTCTCATTAGGATAACCAAATCTTGGTAGTTGTGTTATTTTTTTTTTTTTATTTATCCTATTTTTTCTCATTTTATTTTTTTTTTTTTTTTTTTTTTTTTTTTTTTTTTTTGGTCACTGCCTATTGTTTTCTTTAACCGGCAATAGTCCATTCCTTCTCATCCTTTTTTTATTATTATTGTTTTATGTAATTTTCTTTTCAATAATTTTCAAATTTTGATCGTTCAGAACAATATTAAATTTAGTCTCTTAGATCTCTCATAGGATAACAAATCTTGAGTTGTGTATTTTTTTTTTTTTATTTATCCTATTTTTTCTCCTTTTATATAACTGTTCTCTGTTGCAGAAAAATTTTTATTTATGTTTTTGATTTCTCTTTTGTTGACAGTTCAAAATGTAAAATGAATTATTCATTCATTATGATTTTAGATTTTAGATCTTTAGATTTTGAGAAGTTTTTTTATATTTTCAATGGAGCATAATAGTTCAGCATATTTTTTTCTTAATATTTAATATTTAAATTCTTTTGCAGGCATTAGGTCTAATAAGTTCCCAAAATAACAAAAATTATATAAAATTTCCTTGTTCTATTTGAAAATTGTATAAAATTTTTCAGGATATTAATACCTTGTACCAAGATCATTTCCAAACATTAAATTTTAATTTTATATACTTACATTTCTTATTTGTCTAGAAATATTCATATTCCATTATCTATAAAAAAATTGCCAATTTTCTCTTAAAGAAAACCCTTAATCTTCTAATACTTTACTTGTGCATTAGTCAATTGCCTTGATCACTGGATACATAACTATAGTTTTGAGTAATTCCAAAAACAACTTAACATGAATCATTTAATTTTAATGGGTACTGATACAAGAGTATATTAGAAAAAGAAAAAATAATAAAAATGATAGTTTAATTATACTAACCTAAAACTTCTTAATCTCTCCTCTTTCGCTTCTCCTCACACCATCACCAGCCATGCAACAAGAAGACTATTCCAGATGCAGAATAAGAAAATGTAATGCCATTGCAAAATTGTCACTCTTAATCTCATGCTTATTAGCATCCCAAACTATCATTTGGCATCCTGTCACCGATATAAATAAAATAAGTTCATTCTGAAAAATATTTGAATGGCCTCTTAAAATATTTTCAACGTGATAAAATTCTCAAAAGCAACTCAAGTAACAGTGTAAAGGAAACCCTTAAAAGAGTATTAAACCATTTAAAATAATATCCAAAGATTAAACATTTTCTGCCAACATTTAAGTCTACCTGTCCTATAATTAGATTGGATTAAGATCATTTCATTTACATGCTCCAATAGCATAGTTCGTATTAGTGCAATACAAGTAGATATTTCTCAAGCTTGAACTGTCAAACTTTGACCAGTTCAAAATTTACAATTTGCCCCAACCTGCCAAAAAAGCTTCAATAGAAATTAAAAAGGAGAAAAAAGAAATATGGGAAAGCATATAATTGATAGAAAGAAGCACAAAATATTCACATGAGGTATCCTATGGTGAAACGCCCGGGTCTATATACACATGGCTACACATTCAAAACTCGATGCCACTATTTATCTGAACAGAGAACGATGGTCGGCCAACATCAGTGAGTGGGGTATCAACCCTAATGACGAGTCCTGAGCTTCCAATGTTGCCATTCCACTTGGACCGTCCAACCTGCAATTAATGGTTCAGAAAATACACAAGCTACATATTGTAAATGTTAAATGTTATCAATCCACCTTTTTATCTTTTTTTATGCTAGGCAAATCACCATTAACATTCACTGAAGTCTTTAACCCAAGTATACGCATATACAAGCAGCATAGTTGACAGTGGAATCTATCTAATGCAATAGACCCCTTTCTAGCAAATATTTGCCGTACTGAAGTGAAATAACTTACATTACTTTGATATGCATCTATTAAAGGAGTTGATCATCAGAAAGTTATGTACATTTACATGTCCACAGAGCAACAGGATACATCAAACCTCAATATGTAATTCTTGCAAGGATTACGCCTCAATAACAACAATGATATGTAAATTTGTCACAGCTGCACTAGACTGGGAAAGAGGTTTAGTTCTTTGCAATAGACCAGCTAGAGGGATCAGATACAAGTTAGTCGGGCATTCTATCACTAAGAAGCTTGAGGTAAGTCTCACTCTAACAAAATTTGACCCTACCATTTCAAGCCTATAATTTCCATTGTAAGATTATTCTTCAGTTGCATTACTAGTATGTTTGACTTCAACATCAGACTTGATTTATATTGAAAGACTACCATTGTTAGGACCAAAGTGTCTCAAATCCCAATCTTTTTTTGTATGCTATACTAGAGAGACCTCTCTTTCTGTGTCATCTAAACCTCGACCTGATTAATCTAACAGAAACCAGCTGCGTGTGTCGTGGATCTAAATACCAGGGAAAATTGGTATTTTAGGTTTAACAGCACTCATGACAAGGTAGAAAACACGAAATTCATTATCACAACCTTTCTTCATTGGAGGAAGAAAAAATTGGAAAAGATTTTCATACTAACTATAAATTTATTTTACAATATTGTATAATTTCCTCCCAAATTTTTTAGGAACAAGATAATGGACCTCAGAGACAATTTCCTCCACCTATTTTCATCTCTCATACTTTTTTTCAACTACCAAACAAGTGAATTGTGGAAACTTTTCCAACTTTTATTTCCTCCCATTTTACATATTTCCCATACATAATTTGTGTTAAAAAATAATTATTATACTTTTCCACTTCTTTCCTAGACTCCCTGAGGTTATATATGTAGTAATTCCAACAAATAGCATAATACGAAGTGTTTGATTCCTTCACACCTGGCTTCCTATTTTGTTTATTAAATAAAACCAGCATATTAAAATATTATATGGAAAAAAAAAGTAGAAAAAAGAGACAGAGATCCAACAACACACCAAGATTCTAGCCAGTAGAATAGTAATCTACTTGATAGATATACCGACAAGCAACACCAAATAAAGCAACTTACAGAAAGTGATGCGAATATAGAAGGATGTGCCATGAATGCACAGCCGCAGATCAGATTCAGTTTCTCATTCACCGAATGAATAAGTTCTGCTCGCAAACCAGGATTGCTTCCTCCAAAAGTGGGGCACAAACTGACATGGTACCGTTTAGAACAAAGTTAAGTCATAAGGTGATCTGAGAAGGAAAAGCCAAAAAGAAAAACAAAATAAATGCAATAGATAATTCATAGATGATCATGCTTCAGTTAAACATGTTGTGAAACCAAAAATGACAATTAAACCTAGAATAATATATTCTGCACACCACATTCTCAGCATCAAAGCTCATCTTACTCGAGAGTTTAAGGTAATATGGAAATCAGCATACCAATTGTTGTATCAAATAAGCTAAGGTTTCAGCTATTTAAACATAATCGTGACTGAACTGACCCAACAAGAAGACAAGATGATCAATCCCAAAACAATTCTTTTTTATTTTTTAATTTGTTTTACTCATCCAGCATCCACTATTTCACACGCTTGAAATACAAAGAACCAGGTGGACATTTGTTGCTCCTTATGGCTCTGGTATAGTATTAGATATGATCAGGTCTGCTACAAAAAGAATTATAACACAACTATCAGCAAACATAAAAGATGATGTAAGAAACCACTTTTTTCAAGGTTACTACAGGACATCTGAAGCCAAAGTGAGTGGTCTCTCCTCTTATCTCATCCAACTTGCGGCACAAGGAGATAGGGAACCATTTTATATTTATATAAATATGAAAGCAAACATGAAAAGCTACCTGAACCAAGCTAAAGGTCTCACTATAGATTTGATTTCTGCCATGTTAAGGCTTGTGCAAAGCCTAATGTAAAATAATTTGTCAGGCCACTGTACCATTGGTGTGATGTGTGAACCCAATTGATAGGGCAACTTGCACAATTGCAAATAGTTTTGCTTTTGCAGTCGTATTCATGCTGAATATAGTTGGTTATTAAAATTGTGATTTGACTTGTAAAGTCGTACGAGTTTATGATTCCAACTATGTGCTTACTAGTAGAAAAAGTACAAATTACTGAAATCATTGGGAAATCAAAGTAATCACTAAAATACAAATTGATTCGCATGGAAGTTTTAAAAATATGATCTCTTTAAAACTAAAATAACGGCTCTCTCTTAAAGAAGCTAATTTTATTTAAAGAAGAAAATTAAAAACGAACAGTAGAAGTATTTTGGGCTCTGAAACACGAAGTCTCCAATGAAAGAATCGAAGTATCAAGTAGCTAAATGAGACGAGATGAGATTAGGAAAAAACAAAGATAGAGATTTGGAAGAGAAGATACATAAACTTTTTTGTTTTTTTTTTTTTTTCAGTTTTATAATTAGGGAAGAAGAATTAGGTCACTGAGAGGGAAAGAATTTTATGGATTAGATAGATTAGAGAGATGGAATGAGTTGTATAACAATAATTCAACAGGACCCACTTATCCTTTCATTTTTATATGCCTTATACAAAACTGAAGCATAAATACCCTTATTACCAATTTGCTTAAGGGCTGTACAAGGTTGGTCCAAGGACAGCCCTCAAGCATAAAATTAAGTTTTTACAATATAATTTGTATAAATATCAATAAATTAATAATTTTTATTATATAATAATTTTTTACAATTTTCACTTAGATTAATAATTTTTGTTTTAGGTTGTTTTAAAATCTTATGATTTTACAATTCAATGTTGAGGACTGTCCACCAATAGTTAAAACATTGATTTTGACAACATTGGTCTTATGTTCCCTTGCCTCTACTCGAGTCTCCGCGAGTCTCCACAACTCCCTAAAGTTAGATTTCAATGTTTTGCAACATTGCCAACTCAATTCATAACATATAACCACTTTCAATTTTCTCTACATGTATTTCTCCATATCATTCAATCACTACATGGGAAATTAGGCTTTTGCTACTCCATAATCCTGAATGTTCAGTATGAATAACACAATTGGGTTCTCAATCTCCCTACCAACGGGGTTCTCTTTAATCCGCTTACCGAACTCTTCGCTGTTCTGAACTTGATCTCGCACCCTCTTTGGGATTTCTCATTCGGTCCACACAACACATCAGAATAGCTTCACATATTTACTCAGGTTTCAATATTTTTCACATCTCTCTATATCTTGCTTCCATCATTCACACCATCCTAACTCAACCATTTCTCATGCGCCACTGAATTACTTATGCTTGCCTCCAACAAGGCTATAATTGTCTATCTATATCTTAACTTATTTCAATATCAAATTAAGCCAACTCCCCAATGGCACTAGCCCATCTTGCCACACTAGCCCATTTCAAGGGACAATAGGACTGGCACACACACAGGCACTAGCAAAGATCATGCCTGTTGATGGGCACTGCCACAATACTGCTTGCACCAGCCACGCTGTTGCCTATGCAAGTTAGTGTTTAACTAGATCCAGCCTACGCAGCTCTGCAGCCACTTTGAGCCTGTCCACAAACTATTACCTGCTCTCACACCCCAGCCTTTGCTTCCCAACTGCTGGGGCACAATAACCGCTCAGTTTTGGGCCATGCTCATGTACTGCAGCACACCTAACAGCCCCCAAGGCAAGTCGAGTTTCAAGCCAAGATAAATTCTATTGAGCTCAGCTCGGCTCGTTTACACCCCTATTCTCAACCATCACCCACACAACTCAAGCCCTTTTGACAAGCCTAGTGATACCCTATTCACAAAACAAAATTTTCCTTTTTTACAGGTTACTTCAGGTCTTCGCCAAAGTAATGTAGCCTTTCCACTTACCTCAATCAACTTGTGCCACAAGGAGACAAGTAGGAGCAATTCATTTGATTTTATGAATGTGAAAGCAAACATGAAAGTTACCTGAACAGAACTGTCGGTCTAACCATTAGACCTGATCTCTGCCATGCTAAGGCTTGTGCCAAGCCCAATGTAAATGATCTGTCAGGCCATTGTACCATTGGTGTGATGCGTGTACCCCACTTGTTCTATTAAGACATTTAAACAATTGAGTTCAAATTAAATAAATGAAACTAGGTAGAACTTTGAAGATTTTGCATTCATTCCTAATTAAACACCAAAAATCCTCTAAGATTACCTAGAAATCTACATATAACAATCATGTATTCAGAAACTAACCTTATGAGAGAAGCTAAATCTCATTTCCCCTGGATATCGCCCCTGAGCTTGGAGAAGCCCCCCACAAAGAGGTAGAAAAGCACTTGTAGTCAGCCCCTCACCAGACACATATGTAAACTGACCATTTGGAAACTGCAGATCCACAAATGACTGCATGCAGAGATCAGCAGCAGCAAGAGGAAAAGAAGAAGAATTAGTAAATTCATCTTAAGAAACTGTCATTAGTGAAAGTTTCAGCACTACAGGAAAATGCTTCAAACATAAGACTTCATATATCCAGAATCAACACGTTAACTTCTCATCAAGACACAGACAAATATTTATAACAAGATGACAGAACTGTTCTTCCACTTATTCAAATAGCACTTCATGAAAGTAAATTGTCAGCCTAGTCAAAATTATTAATTTTAGTCAGTGTTAGTCTCATTTTTTTAGCTCCTTTAACTGCTTCAAGAAAACTGAGCTCAGAGGATGATTTCCCAGGCTTATTATCATTCTGTACATTAAAGATTTCTACGTATAAATAAATGCGCATATCATCTTTATGTACCACATGTTTTCCAAATTTTAATTTTAATTTTACAATCTGATTACTCTACAAAATCCCAAAGTTATCTGACAAGACAGTAGCAAAGCTCCATATACTCTCTCATTTTGTGTATAATGGGGGACTGGAAGGAGGGAATGGTAGAAAGGAAAGAGAGAGAGGGCCTTATTCTTAGCCTTTTTACCCTGCTCACTCAATCCTTTGAAGGTTTTCGGAAATGAACCAAGATTCAAGTGTTTGGCCACAAAAAATTATAAATTGGATAATGATACTTTTCATATTTGTTTACCATCAGTAGATCACTCCTCTGCCTCGGCCCTCGAAAACAGTTTACTGTGCTTGATTAACTTGAACATATAGTGATTTTCACTTACACAAGCTAAAGGATTGAGACAGAGCATTGACATTAACAGCCACCTTCTATGCTTTGACCATACAGCTGGACATAGAGAATGCATTCCATTCTGACAAAAAGGAAAGATCTGTCAGAGCCATTAAATTAAGCAATAAGCAAGAAACATCAAATCCAAATTTAGGCTCAATAAAAAAGAACACTAACACATTGAGCCGTGATATTTTTTATGTGAAGGGTCAATCCCCGTGTCAGCATAACAGCATATATACTATGATGCAATTAAAATAAAATCCAGAAGAATTAATCATGTAAAAGTGTTGCAGATTTAGCAGAATTTTAAGCAAACTATCATCAACAAAATGCCCAATGTGTAGGATTCTAGAAACAAATCAGTGAAATAATTTGGAGCAACCAAACAACTAATGTTCAGTGAGTCCATAAATCTTTGGAGACCAATCTTTATAAACCTTCAGAAAAAGGGCCTGCTACATCCAATGTCCCAAACCAGTTATATGGGAACTTGATATGGGTAGATAAAGCCTTCGACACTGTATATTCAACCCCTCCCTGGGAAAAAAAAAAAGGAAAAAAAAAAAAAGAAAGAAAAAGAGCCACCTAATGGCTAGCTTAAGGTTCTAAACAATAGGCACCAGAACAAACCACAGTCAACACTTGAAAGGGGGTACTGTAGACCATATAAAAATTTCTGCTATCCTTATGAAAGAGACCATATAAAAATTTCTGCTATCCTTATGAAAGAGCCAAGCCAGAGAGCAAACATCGAGGATGTTCACTGTGGAAGCATTGTTGGGTACAGTAAGATGTCTTGCATCAGGTATATGGAGACTTCATATTACTTAATCAGGCATCAGGCTCTCTCCCTCTAATGGGCTTTTAAAAGCATGTTCATTCATGTCAGTTTTTTAACAGGCTGATAGAAGGATATCCAAACAATTTGCATATCCACACACTCATCTCTAAGTAATAAGTATATCTATTTTTATTTGAGATTAAGCCACTGACTAAAATTGATTGTACCTTCCTATCATAGCCATACCAAAGCAAGTGTTGCTTTGATAAATGAACAGGCAATAGAAGTGTTGAATCGCGAACAAATAGGACTGGTCCAAGCTGGAACAGGAAGAGAGATGAATTATCATTTCCAGATGTGGAGCCTCCATTTGATGCCTCGACTCTCCACAAATCTCCCCTTGCAACCATAGAACTGTCTATGTTGTGAGTTCTACTGTCATAAGTTGATGTGATATTTAAAACCCCCTGCACCAGCAGAAAATGAACCATTTGAAAATGGCAAGAAAGGATTATAATACAAAATAAATTGGCATTCCTTCAATGTATGTTATGATGATAATGACAAATCGACAATATGAAAATATAATACTACTACCATAGGGGCATATTTTGTCGTCGTTAAAGATGTAGATCGAACATTTTGGTTGACATTCCTTGTTCACAAGAAACATCTTCCAATTGGCTAGAACAAACTACTGGAGCAAACTTAAGCAACTCAGATGTTTTCTAAACAGTAGCATGCCAATTCATAAGCATGTCATGTACCCAGCAGGTCTAGAAGGCACATTAGCTGGTACCTCTATGAAAACAGAATTAACAGGCTAAAGCTTTTGTCTTCAGCTGGTACCTCCATAGTCCAAAATGTGGCCCAAATAACTTCTCAACAACATTAATGGCACACAGAATGAAGCATGAAGAAATAATAGTTAATAGATAAACCACAATTTTCCTTATACCTAATCAAAAAAGTAGCTAAGGATTTTACAAAATATTTGAAAGTCTTCATTGTTTGGCCCAAATAACTTCTCAACAACATTAATGGCACACAGAATGAAGCATGAAGAAATAATAGTTAATAGATAAACCACAATTTTCCTTATACCTAATCAAAAAAGTAGCTAAGGATTTTACAAAATATTTGAAAGTCTTCATTGTTTGGCCCAAATAACTTCTCAACAACATTAATGGCACACAGAATGAAGCATGAAGAAATAATAGTTAATAGATAAACCACAATTTTCCTTATACCTAATCAAAAAAGTAGCTAAGGATTTTACAAAATATTTGAAAGTCTTCATTGTTTGGCCCAAATAACTTCTCAACAACATTAATGGCACACAGAATGAAGCATGAAGAAATAATAGTTAATAGATAAACCACAATTTTCCTTATACCTAATCAAAAAAGTAGCTAAGGATTTTACAAAATATTTGAAAGTCTTCATTGTTTGGCCCAAATAACTTCTCAACAACATTAATGGCACACAGAATGAAGCATGAAGAAATAATAGTTAATAGATAAACCACAATTTTCCTTATACCTAATCAAAAAAGTAGCTAAGGATTTTAGAAAATATTTGAAAGTCTTCATTGTTTCCCTAGACTCCCAGCCTTCTCACCAAGATTACTCAAAATCAGAACAATTTGATAAATCAAACTATGGAATTAAGGACCCATGACCAACTTCATTCTCATGTGCACCTTAAACAAGTTTGGGGTGCTGCAATAGGCATAGGATGATTTAACAAAAATAATCCAGCTTTTGTAATTTTAATTTTCCCACCTCTGCAATCCATAATATGAGAAAAACCATTATAACATAAATTGCAAATGGCTTAACCACATGGATTTGAAAACCAACAAAGATCACGGACCCACATAGTCCTTAATCCTTTAAGAAAATTATAAAAACTGAACAATGTGCAGTTTGCATACATTTTCATTTCCCTAGTTCCAATATAAGCAACCATTCCCATGGAATCTAATAGTCAGACAAAGGTAAGCTAAAAATCTACATATATTCAACATCAGCAACTCCACAAACAAAAATCACAATTTATGTGCATAAATAAACACTTCTACTCAGTGAAAAACTGTTGACAACAAATAAACTGCTCTTGCAATATTCATTACCTGCGGTTTACCAAGATGCCCCACAGACTTCAAATTAAACCCACTAGTTTCATCATCAGCAGAACCCTCCAGCTTACTACCACCGCCATCACCAGCAGCATTCTCCACAAACCCAAAATCCCTCAACCTCTCACTCACTAACCCCAACTCCCCGTCAACACCCCTCCCCAAATCACTCCTTTTACTATCCATCCTAACCTCCATCCCGACGCCCTCCTCCTGCTTAAAAGGCAGTGGCAAGCTCCTAAAGAACTGCTGCACCAACCCGTTCAAGCCCGCGCCAAAATCAGCCCCAGCTTGGCCAATTCTGTTTCCAATATCGAAAATCGCAGAAACTCCATTTATCCCAGTACTATCGGTTAATACTCCAAAATCCCTATTACTGAAATTAAAAGCTTCTATTTTGGGGCCAGGAAATTCTAGATCAAAAAACTTCGATTTTTGAGAGTTTGGCCAGGGAAAAGCAGGGGGATTAGTCATATGAGATTGTAATAACCCTGTAAATCCCTGGGCCAGCCGGTCCGCGAGGTCCTGGCCATGGCGCTGCACCTCCTCCCATGCTTCAAACGATCTTTCTACCGACATCTCACTGTAGAACTCAACAAATCATGAGATTCTGCAATAGGGTTTTCTATAAATTGATCCAAAAAGGGAAGGAGTTATTATGAACGTCTTTTTGTGGGTTCACAGCAGACCGTGAATTGGGTGATACTGGTAGCTACACAACCGATCGAGAAAAAGAGAGACGAAGATGTTTCAATGCTTTGGGGAAAGGGGAAAAAAACGAACTTAACGGTACTGATTTTCCAAAATTAACAAATAAACAAAAAGGAACGAAAAGGGTTTAGATTTGAATCTAGGAAATTATAAGATCGATTTTAATTGAGCTTCGGAAGACGAACAGTTGGAAGTTGCGATGGGGATGAAGAAGACGCGATTTTTTTTTTTTTTTTTTTTTTTTTTTTAATTGAGCTTCGGAAGCGAAAACGTGGGAAGTATGCGATGGGGATGAAAAGACGCGATTTTTGTTTTTTTATTTTCTTTTATATTTGACGCGATTTTTTTTTTTTTTTTCTTTTATTTTCCCCTTAGAGATAGAGAGATGATATGCGCGTAGAGGTGGATTCGGAAGCTCTCAGGGATGCGCAGTGCGCACGTATATGGAGATATCGCCACGTTGCGGAACACTTGTGGCAGTGGCTGCACAGATAGAGATTTTATTGCCATGAGGTCGTTCTGTATATGGAATCACCGTGTATTATGTAGTGTAACTTTTCATAGATAATTACGTACCTAACCAGCTTTTGAATTTTAAGAATTTATAAAATTCTTTATTTAAGAATTTTAAGAAAGGCTTTAACTGCAATAGAGAAATTAACTTTTCTGTATAGACAGATTCTATTATTCAATGACATACGACCAATCAATCTGATATAAGTTACTTTTTGTGTTTTTGAAAGCTACTGTAAGGTTACTTGATTTATCATTTTTTTTTTTTCAAATTGTTTTAATTTTTCTCATAATTTTTTTCGTGTTTTTAAGAACTTGTTTAGAATAAATGAATTCTACGAAATTTTATAAAATTTATTTAGAAATTCAAAATCATATATTTGGAATGAAAAAAATACCGATTTGAATTCTACAGAATTGGATATACCTAACTTAAATTCTACTAAAATTGATGGAATTTATAAATGACTTTTATAAAATTAACCGATGAAATATTTATTTACAAAATTATCCTCCACTAGAAATCTTTTTTTTTTCCTTTTCTTTTTTTTTTTTTGGAAAATCTCAAACTATAACAACATTATATTTTTTATAATCCAATAATGAAGTTATTTTATATTATTATTTTTTCCTTTTATTTGTATTTTTTTTTTTGAAAACTCCAAACCACTAATGACGTTTTTTTTTTGAAGTCTAATAATAATATTAGTTATTATTATTATGAAATTATTATAAAAATTGAGTATCGACAATTGTTTTCAAATGCAATTAAAAATAATAGTAACATTCTTTATTTTTTTTAGTTTCTAAATTAATTACTTAAATCAACAAAATTTTTTACATCAATTAAACTATTATTTAGTGTATTTCTTAGTGTATTAAAACTAACTAAATTTATGTATTTATTTATATGAAATTTATTATTTATATTTTAATAAAAAAATGACAAGTTGTTATATTATACATAATAAATATAATTGGTGTTTGTTATTTATTTTTGTTAAATTATTATATCCAAGTTGTCTATATTATACATAAATTTATATTTTAATAAAAAAATGACAAGTTGTTATATTATACATAATAAATATAATTGGTGTTTGTTATTTATTTTTGTTAAATTATTATATCGAGGGTGTTACAAAAAATAAAAACAAATCAATTTTCATTTAATAATTTATTTCAAACATAATTTTGTGGAGTTCAATTGAATTCCTTATTTGAAATTGTAACATATCAAACATGACAAATTCATTTGCAAATGAATTCTACTTAGAATTTATTTGCAAATGAATTCTACAACTATGATTCATTTGTACCAAACGGGTTGTAAATGGTACAAATCAATTCTTAGCATCTCGAAACAGGATTCAATAAATTTTACTTTTATTTTTTTTAAGAACAAAAGTATTTTTACTAAAAAAAATAATACAGATAATAGAAAAAATGTAATATTGAAAAAAATTTAAAATTTAAAAATACATAAAATAACAAAAAATCATATTAATTTAAACTCACAAAATTATATTTTATGTATAATTTAATATTTTTTTTAATTGATAATGATGTAGAATCTTAAAATAATTTAATGAGCATAGTTACATTTTAATTGATACACCGTTTATTCCATAAAATAGGATCGGGGTTCCCGATCACCTTGGTTTTTGGACCGATGGTCTGTAGCTGAGATTAGCGATGTGTTTAACCACTTTTACCTTTTCATATTACTAGGGGTTTCGCAACGAAATCGAGTCCGGAATGCGCGTTAGGCCTGCCAGGCACACTTCCCGGTGCATTGTCTCGTTTTATGCGCCATCCGGTCTGATTTTATAAAAGTGGACCCTGTCTCATTGTAGGGCCCAATAGTGGCATTTTCGCCACATCAACCCTAAAATGGCGGCACCCACCTTCATTTGCCTATAAATAAGCATTGAGGGGTGTGTTAAATAAGGTGATTCTTTTTGGAAACAAGGGGAAGTTCTTGTATTTTGAAAACTCAACTAAAGAAATCCAAAGGCAACTTGTATTAAACCTTGAATTTGAGTTGAGAACTTATTGTTAATCAATCAAAACCCCTTGTAGATAATCTATAATCCTAAAAACACAAACTCTAATTTTGAATCTCAGATTTTGGTATCAAGGACCAAGTGTTGGGTTGTCCTTCATCCATGTTTGAGCAAATCATCAAAGAAATCACAAAAGGTAGTCCCTGAGAACCTTTAAATGCTTTCTTCATCTTTTTCTTTGCTTTTTCAGTGTTTAAAACACCATTTTTGGGTCCGGTTGTAAGAAAACCTAGGATCAATCAAAGATAGGTTTTTGCACCTCTGTGGCGCAAGGCCAACAGTAGTGGCGTGCGCCACTATGTGTGGCTCACGCCACAAGTGCCTAGAAACCTCTTGTTCTTGCTCAATAAACGTCTCTAATTCGATGATCATGTGGCCAAGCTCTGATCTTAAAAGGTTCGTGATGCATATTAGGTCACATATAGATCAAATAAACAAATGAAACATGATTGAGAGCAATAAGCATCAATATCTTCAGCTCAAATCTTGTTAAAATCTTTAAATTTCTGTCATTTAATTATTGTCTTAGATCGAACATAAACAAATGAAAACATGATCTGATAAACAAATGAAACATGATTGAGAGCAATAAGCATCAATATCTTCAGCTCAAATCTTGTTAAAATCTTTAAATTTCTGTCATTTAATTATTGTCTTTCGCTTTACTAGCACTTTATTATTTTTGTTCTTTATTATTTCCGTCAATTAAATTCTTGTTATTTAGTTTAGTGTTCATTATTATTGTGCTAACCCTTTATTTATCAATCTTGTATCATTTACATTCATCATAACCATGCTTGTTGGATGATTGATTGTGTAGTGATCTTGTAATTAATATATTATTCTTTGAATGTTTGTTATTCTTTATGTTTGTTTTTTGTGGTTTGAATTTTTTATTTAAGTCTTATTGCAAAATGTAAAGGGTCCATAAGGATTCCTATTAAATGTTTGTTATTCTTTATATTTGTTGTTTGTGTTTTGATTTTTTTATTTAAGTTTTTTTTTTCTAAATATAGATTTTAATGTTTGAGTTTTCCTTCTATTTTGAGAAATGTAATCATGGTCCTATTTTGCTGACTGAAACGGTGAGTTTTAATTAAAACGGGGTGTTTTGGCATTGTTTAAAAGTTTGGTTCAAGTTTGCTGTGATAGAGACAGAGAGATCAAGGAGGGAGAATACAATGAAAATTACTGACTTAGAGTTTTAGAATGTTTAGTTTGTCTGATTTTCTTTGGATATTAATGAAACACCCTTAATTTTTATTTTTGAAACTTTTGAACTTTTATTAAATCAAAAATCTGAATTTTCGAATGTCTGGACTGCAAATACTGTTTAATTCTAATTCGAGCCCAAGTGTACGGAGTTGGGCTCAAGCCCAAATCATATTATTAAATATTTGTCGAGTGGAGAACCTTTAGAAATTTTTAAGAGTAACTATGGAGCACTAATTATTAATTATTAAAAAATATATTGTATATGTGTGTCAAATTACTATATAAATTAATTAATATAAAATCTATTAGTACTTGAGTGACTTATTTATATTGATTTAGTAATTGAGGAAATGTTCTAGAGAACTCACTAAGAATTCAAAATAAAAAATCAATCGGATTAAGATAAACTAAGCAAATCAAAGTCGAGTCGAATCATTGAATTAACCAAACCGGTTCCGAAATCGAACGCGGAATGGTCTAGAAGTCTCACGATTTCATCTTTTTCTTTCTTTTCTTTTCTTTTTTTTTTTTTTTTTTTTTTTTCTTTTTCTCCTTTTTCCTTCTTCTCCTTCCTGGCGCCCAGTCGGCGCGACCTCTCCTCCTTCCTCCCCATCCAGCCACCGGAGCCGATCTAAGTTAGCCTCCTCAACGCAGCGGATTTCCGCAACCTTTCTCCTTTCTTTTCGTTTCCTGGCGTAACGCAGAAGGCGCAGGAGAGCCGCGACATCTTCGATCGGGAAAGTTCGCGATAGAGACCTCCTGCTCCTTGATTTTCCGGGCGACACCAGCCTCTCTTCTTTCGACGACGAAAGCTTGGGGTCTCCTTTTTGCTCCCTCCTTTTTCCCCGTTCCGGCTGACACAGAAGCTTAGCGGAAGCTGCAATCATGGTTTGCGATCTGGAAACGCGGCTATCTTGCTTTCCTTATTTGAATTTCCGGGGCAAGGTAGAGTAAGTTATTTTCAACCTTTCAATACATTTCCATGAATTTTTGATCCTGAATAGGAGAAGTGATATAAAAATAGAATTTCTTAGCTACTGTTATGATGATTAACTAAGAAATTTTGATAAATAAAAATAAAATAATTAGAAGCTTTGATTTTACTATTTAGGTTGATTTATAAACTGAATTCCCATATAGAAATGGTTAGGTTATTTCTTCTATTATAAATTTTCATGAAAAGTCGAGCATTCGTTAGATTGATAGTAGCCAGTTAGCCATGCTTGATTTTCTTTATCAATTTAACTGAACTATAAACTGAAATGGCGAAAGAATTGAGAAACTTGAAATGGCAGCATGCCGTTTTAACTAATTAGCTTGAACAATTATTGCGGTATAATGCAAACGAAGTTATAAATTAAGTTCTTGGTGGGAAATGGGTTAAGTAGCATATGATGTTTGAGTTTAATCAATAACTCAAGGTTTCTTTGATATAATGGCAGCTTCTAGT